CTCAACTGAGAAATCTCAAATGACTGAGAGGCACCTAAAGGAAAGTTCAACATTCTTAGCCATCAGGAAATGCAAATCACAGCAACCTTAATACCCCACTTCACACCAGTCAAAATGGCTAAGATCAAAAACACAGGTGACAGCAGATGCTGAGAAGAATGTAAAGAAAGAGGAACACCCCTCCATTGCTGGTGGAATTGCAAGCTGGTACAACCACTCTGGAAATCAGTCTGGTGGTTCCTGAGAATACTGGAAATAGTTCTACCTGAGGACGCAGCTATACCACTCCTGGGCATATATCCAAAAGATGCTTTGCCCTGGCCCTCGGGGATTCGGCGAGACCTTAGGGAAGGGGGTGAAAGAATGAAGGGACAAGAGACACAAGATATGAGAGCAAGTCTGTATAGAGTTCTGATCAAGCTCTGAAACTTTAATTTTGTGTGCAGGTTATAAAGCCACAGCAAACCGGGAAGTTTGGGTGAGGGTCATTGCTCAGGGCTATCCCACTATTGAATCCTCATTGTCTAAGACCAGTCCACAGTCATATCCTTATTGCCCTAAACTATCCCACTGTCGTAACTGGCTCCCAGGAAATGCTAGACATTCTTTAAGTTCCTGGGGCCTGAGACCCATAAATGTCCTTTCTTAACCTTGTACTGACTAGGCTTTCTAGTACAGCAGGTAATTTCCTAGGTTCTCTTAGGACAGCAGGTAGTTTCCTGGATTTGGCTCCCGGCAATGCTTCAACATATAACAAGGACACGTGCTCCACTATGGTCATAGCAGTCTTATTAATAATAGCCAGAAGCCTGAAATAACCCAGATGTCCCTCAACAGAAGAATGGATACAGAAAATGTGGTAGATATATACAATGGAATACTACGCAGCTATTAAAAACAATGACTTAATGAAATTTGCAGGCAGATGGATGAAACTAGAAAATATCATCATGAGTGAGGTAACACAGTCACAGAGAACACACATGGTATGTGCTCACTGATAAGTAGATATTAGAAACAAAGTTAGGAATACCCACGATACAACTCACAGACCTTCTGAAGCTCAAGAAGAAGGAATACTAAAGTGTGGATGCTTCAGTCCTACTTAGAAGAGAGAATAAAATAATCATGGGTGGTAGACAGAAGGTGAGAAGAGAGGGGGAGGGAAAAAGAGATCAGGTGTTGGAGAAGAAAGGGGAGAAGTGCAGAGGATTAGGAAATTGAATGGAGGAGATGGGGAACTGGGGGTAGCTACTAGAAAGTCCCAGATTTCAGGAAAGCAAGAGGCTCCCAGTATACAATGGGGATGACATTAGCTGAAATACCCAAGGAAGAGGAGAGAGAACATGTAGAGACCATATCCAGAGGTAAGGCATGGCTCCTGGTTGAGGCATGGGGCCACACACCCATCTCAAAAATATTAACCCAGAATTGATCCTGTTTAAAGGAAATATGGGGACAAAGAGTGGAGTAGAGACTGAAAGAAAGGCCATCCAGAGACTGCCCCACCTAGTGCTTCATCCCATCTGGAGACAGCAAACCCAGACACTGTTGCTGATGCCAAGAAGCGCTTGTTCACAGGTATGGCTGCCCCCTGAGAGGCTCTGCCAGAGCTTGACAAATACAGAGGCAGATCCTCGCAGCCAACCATTAGACTGAGCAGGGGGACCCTAATGGAAGAGTTAGCACAAGGACTGAAGGGGTTTGCAACCCCATAGGAAGAACAACAAAATCAACCAAACAGATCTCTCCTTCGCCCAGAGCTCCCAGGGACTAAACCACCAAGCAGAGTATACATGGAGGGACTCATGGCTCCAGCTGAATATATAGCAGAGGATGGTCTTATCTGGGATAAATGAGAGAGAAGACTTTTGGCCCTGTGGAGGCTCCATGCCCCAGTGTAGGGGAATGCTAGGGTGGTGAGGTGGGAGTCAGTGGGAGGTTGGTAGAATTCATTCATAGAAGCAGGGGGTAAAGGGGATGGGATAAGGGGTTTGTGGATGGAAAACTGGGCAGGTAGATAACATTTGAAATATACATAAATAAAATAACCAATAAAAATCTTAAATCAAGAATAAATTAAGTTTTTTTGAGATAAAGTCTGGTTGTATACCTGTCTGACCTCCAATTCAAAATCCTCTTGCTTCTACCTTCTAGGAGCTAAGACTACAGGTGCTACAACTAGGGACCATATTAAATAAGTGTTAGTCTTTCAAACATACCTTAGGATTTCTATGTGGAGCAAGTGCTGGGGAAGGAGCAGGAAAGCACAGCAGCATGCAGTGCTTCATTGTGTTTTGTATTTAATTGTCTCCATCTTTTAAAATCCATCTTGTCCTCAATTTAGGCAAAGATTATAGCAAAAGATGACATTTATCATGAGTGGTTCAAAAGATGGGAGTAACTGTGCTCCCAGATGTTGTTCATGTCACCTTTGAGGCAAGTTATAGAATACTTGTATATCCCACTTTTGTTCTGATTTTATAAGAGACGTGCACATGGGAATCTTATACTTGTAAACAGAATAGCCTACTATGAATGGGAAACATGGCTAATTCACATCAAACATCTTTATAAAAGTTGCCTTTTCTTTCCTCCCCTCCCTCCCTGTCTGTTCCTTTTTTTTTATTTTAATCTTAAGATTCACTCACTGTTTTCATCAACTTTGTAATTGTAAGATAACTTAATCCAAAATAAAAATTAACATTCTAATCCCAAGAAATTCTTTCAAGTTACAATTTAATATAGTTTATGTTCTTATGTAGTAATAAGAGATATTTTATATCATATAAATACAATAAGAGAGAGATTTATAATGGAAGGTCACATCTTTAAAATGTAAATCATATTAGGATCAAAGTCTGAAAGTGGTTATAGAATGAAAATGTAGTTGCAAATGAAAACAGCAACTTAGAATGGTTGACTCTCAGTGTTTGGGTGTTTTATAAGTAAAGGATGGTGGGCATTACAGAGCACCATTCAACTGGCTACACAGAAATGGGTGATGTAGAGTGCTACTATACAAGCACACCGTAAAAATGTCCTTTACATCTCCAAGGCTGTGATATAGCATCAGATGTCACCTTAGAAATGTAGAAAAAGAAACTCAATTAAAAAAAAAAAAGTTGTAGGAGACACCACAAAAACCTTGAAAATAATTTTTTAATCCCATTACTTTGCTGTTCTAATAAACAGTTCTATTCTAGGCCCTCACTGAGTAAGCATTCATACTCCGACTGGTGGGCACCACACAGTAGGGTAAAAAGTACTGCAGGCAAACCATGAAAATAAAACTTAGTTGCAGCAGTGACTTATTTTGTAACCCATGGCCATCATTTTCTCTTTGTGAAATAAAGTGATGGGGCCACGGCTCAGGTGATGCTGTAGGTCAATGTATTCCCCACCTCATGTTTAATATGGACATCTCTGGAGAGTTTGCCATTCTTTTTCCGTCACTGTTAAAGTATTCTCCAATTCATTCCTAAAGGAAATAAAACACAGTTGACAATAAAGAAATCATTAACCTTGTTCCTTTTCCCTCACTACCAAGAGTAAAACTCTTCTAACCTTAAAGAATGAAAAATGAAGAGGATCATCAGGAATTACTGCAGACAAAAGAGCAAAGTTTGAGGAGCCACTGGAAATGCTACGGTTTGAAAAATGGCATACAAGGGATTCTATGAACCTGCCTCTTAAACTAGAGAGCATAGAAATGCCCAAGGCCCATGACTGAATAGGAAAAAATTATTTGCATCCCCCAAATTTTCTTAAATATGAACATAGGCAACCTTTGTTACTGGTTAATCTGTGTAGTTTAGATATATTCACATGTAATTTATGATTGCCTCTCAATTTAAAAATAATGTTAATTTATTAGACTTGACGATGGCTATTATTTTAAAAAAGAGCATATATGTAATTATTTACATATGTGAACCTATTGAAATACAACAAAAATCTTTATACCTATTTCAACCGTCTACCTCCTGTATAATCCTATAGATCTTATCTTATTTATTTAAAAACATCTCTATCAGGTCTCTTGAGTTTGTCAACGGGACAATTAAGATTACCCTAGGCACCTTCCAGCTGCGGGATGTGGAGTGGACACAACAGTCACTGCCACTAAAGAGAAAAATTACCACACTTATGGCTGGGGTTCTGCACTCTGTATTTCAGAGGCCTCCAGGCAGACTACAGACTGAAAAAAGGTGCTAAAATCTCTCATTGGTACAGAGTGGGTTTGTCACAAATAGGAAAGTATTATTCCCAATCCCCAAATTTTCTTAATTATGAACGTAGGCAACCCTTGTTACTGGATAATCTGTGTAGTTTAAATTTCAAATATCATTTACGATTACTGTCACTGTACATCCTAATGGGAAAAACCCACAAGCTATGGCTCGATAACTGTGTTAAGCCTGAAGTGGCAAACAGGAACTTCACTGCAGAAAAGGCAGGTATTTTTCAGAAATCTCGGATGCCGAGAGTAAGGCACGAAGACAGGATAGGTCCCGTTTCTGTCAAGTGCTTCGGGGACTCTGGAGACAAAATAGCCGACAACCCACTTCCTGTTGACTAAACAGCACCTCACCTTTCCAGAAAGCGCCGGACCACTAAACCTGAGACTTCCGTCCGTGCTCGACTTTACAGGCTTCCGGTCCGCAGCGGGTTAGGCCAACATCCGTGGCGTCGCGAGGATCCCACGCCTCAGGCAGAAGGCCTGTTTCTCTTGTGACTTCTCACAGAGAGTGACAGGTCCCAAGCTAAATGCCGGTTTCTTCGCATCCTAAACAGAGACCCTTTAAGAACCTCCCTCCGGTGTGTCGTCATCTGCAACAGCGCAAACTCTACCCCTGCTCTGCAGCCTGGGTAACAGTTCTGTGTCGTGCCTCGTAGCGGCGCCGTTAGCTTACGTTGAAGTATAAGATTGGCTAGACATTTCTGACCGCGTACTATTGGGTACTGGTGTCCAGGCTCCGCCCCTTCTCCGTCTCCGTCCCGCGGTAGCCGTGTGTCCTCGAGCCGCTGGTCCGCGCGCTGCCTGGCAGTTTGCCTCTTCCTCGTCCGTCCTCCAGCTTGCGTCCATGGCCACCGCCGCGACCGAGGAGCCCTTCCCTTTCCACGGTCTTCTACCAAAGAAAGAGACCGGGGCCTCCTCCTTCCTGTGCCGCTACCCGGAGTATGACGGGCGCGGGGTGCTCATCGCCGTCCTGGACACAGGGGTCGATCCCGGGGCCCCGGGCATGCAGGTGAGGCAGCGCCAAGGGCTGGTGGCCGAGAGGGCCGAGCCTGGACCAAGCCGCGGACCGGACGGGCCTGGCAGAGCCGGACAGCTCTGGGCAACAGCCGGGCCCTGTTCCCTCTGCACACAAAAGCAGCGTGGTCAGCGTGGCTGTTCGGGATTGGGGGCCGTGGGGAAGTTTTGCTGGTCAGCCGGGGCGTTCCAGGCCTCACACCTCTTCAGAGTCCGCACCCGTCCTCGGCAAGGGAAAATTTTACAGCTTTTAATTCTGGGGAGCATGGGAGCGCCACAGATAGGAATAACAGCCTTGAGGAACTCCTTAGTGATGTTTAGAGATACTGGTTTTGCAAAGACCAGCAAAGTGGATTTCCAGAATATGACCCAATCCGCTTCCGGAATGGTTTCTTCTGATACTTTTGTTCTATTTTTAAGTTATCTGCCGTGTATTTGTTCGGAGTCCTTGAAATCTCCTGGATTAGTCTTTTTTTTTTTTTTTTTTCATAAGGTCTTTACAGAAGGCCCAACTAATTTGTTTCGGGCGAACTTCTCAGACCTTATGAAAATAAACGTAAGAGAACATACTTTGATTATGGCTTCCCCAAAATGACTTCATTTTCCTTTATGCAAGTAAGAAGTCTTTAAGAGCAGGGTCCTTACTGAAAAGTGATGTTAAAAAAATGTCTAAGTAAAAATGTATTCTGTTTTTAAACTAAACTAGCCTCTTACTAAAATCCACTAATAAATACTCTTTAACCTTTGTTGAAGATCTTCCCTATTTTCCTTTTCTGTCCAGCACCAGTTTATCTATCAAATAGATATTTTAGATTACATTGATACCATCTTATCCTTGTTCCTCACAAAAGAGGGATACTTAATAATTCCTCTCCTGTTAGCCCTTGATTTTTCCTCCAATCTTTAGTTCTTTCATTGTGCTGCCTGATAATTGATATAAATGGATAGGAAGATAGTTGACATAAATGTTAAAGATTATTGGATAGGAAAGAAGCCTGTGTGGCCATTCTGTGGCACTCTTAGGGAGAGTCCTGCTTCCAAGTGTTTGTTACTTCTTCCCCTTTCTGGTGCACACCTATGCCCTGAAGCACCCAGTGGCAGAGTCTCTGATTAGAAGTTCAATTATGAGTGCCCTCCTGGTGACTACAGTTGTTATTTTATTAATAGTAATTGCTAAGGTTTAAAACTTGGTAATGGCAATGCCATATTGAGAATTTATTACACAGTGGAAATGCTTCCCAATACACAGGAGTGTGTGTTTACTTTTTGGAGAGTGTGGGAGAACAGCTAGGGTAAGTGGCTCACTGGTTCTTTTGGTTAGAGGATCAGAAAATCCTGAAGATTTTGGAGTAGTACTATCAGTGGACATTTGTAGAATTTTCAGTTCTGGTTATCAGAGTGCTTTGTTTCTGTAAAGTAACAGTTTTTATCCCATAGAATTACTTGATTAATTGAGAGAGTCAATTACACGTGGCTTTACAGTGCTAAAGTGTTAAATACTTTTTTTTTAAAGTCCTGAATAAACACTAAATGCTAGCTAGCAATGAGTTCATATCGAGTCAGTGTTTGAAGGGAAAATATGCTTGATATTTATATAAACACTAACATTTAGTTAATAAAACATTGAATCAAAAAAACATAAGATCATCCAGAATTTATTCTCCGATTCTAAACATGATATTTTGTCTAAATTCAGCAAGGAACTTACACGAGTGACTTTAGTTTTTTCTTACCTGAGGAAATTATTTTGAAGCTCTGTATGTACATCATTAAGGTAAAAAAAAACAAAACAACAAATAGAAATAAAAAGAAAAGACTGGAAAAGGAGGTCTACCTGGCTGTTTGAGTTGGAAAATGGGATCTAAGTAAAGGACTAGAGGTTGCAAATGAGAACTTGGAGGGAACGGCCAGTTGTCTCCTCCACTAACTTCCTTAGCCCAGGTCCTTTTTTGTCACAGCTTCTAGGTGTACACAAAGTAGAGTACAGAGTCAGATGTGATAGCACACTCCTGTACATAGACAGCATGAGGAGAGTAATAATTAGATAAATATTTAATATTCTCTCAGCAAGCATTCAAGTACCTGGTAGGTGCCTACAATTCCATTAAATAATGAAATCCTGCAAACTGTGACTGTTAAAGAGATATAGAGGTGAGATAACAAGAAAACTGACAAAATAAAATTTGGTCTAATTCTCACTACCACAAATCTCACCATTGAGCCATGCTTTGCTTTTCCAAACTTAATATTCATCAAAAGCAAACCAAGTATCAACATCTTTGCTCAAACCAAAGTCAGTTTGCTTTTGAATAAAACTCAAAAATTTTGAATTTTATTGTAAGGGCCTTTTACCTTCTAACTCTAACCTTTGAGCGTAGCCTCTGCACCACCCTTCACTCCTGTGCTTCTTTTGAATATTTGATTTCTATCTTTCCCTGGCACCCAGATGTCTTAGGTCCTAATACATATGTGTTTAATTTGCCCAATAGTCTTCTATAATCACTTGCAAACTGCTGCTTCATTCTTTAAAGACATTACTGACTTTATTCAGCCTTTTGCCAAGCTCTACTGTTAAGGTCTGTGGCTTCAGAGATGTAAGGTCCAGTCAGTCCCTACTAACAATGATTTCATTGTTTCTCCTTTTTGATTTCCTCTCAAGTTGTAAATTCCCCAAAGTGACTCTTTTTTTTTTTTTTTTCATTTTATTTCACTTACATTTTTCCTGGTTAAAATTCTTGGAAAGCGTATATCAAGTTTATTTGGTATAAAATCTGCTAGTAATACTCATTTTTGTTGAAAAAGAGGTCTGTATTCATAATGTGAATGTAAGTTTCTCTTGGAGAAAAACAGTTGGGAGTAAAAGGATGCAAGTAACTCCTTAAAGTCTATTTTTAATGCACTAATTTAGTAGAATATTAGTTATATAGTATTCTTATTAACTGTTTATTACTTAGGTTTAGATTCTGCACATTGAGCTTTGAGTCCTTAAGGTGTTTCATGACTACCTCTTTACCTCTTGGATCATTGTCTCTACTCACCTGTTATCTCAACTGATAATCTTTCTAGAAGCAGGGATCCTTGTAAATTGATCATGTTCTTGGAATAAAAGTTACTAAGTAGTAATCTTACATGACTTCCCTTACTTACTTGAACTTTTCAGTATCTCCCTGGAAATTTCAAGTAACTCTGTATACTCACATTTTTCCCTTTGTTTAGTGGAATTTTGTTTTTGATGGTTTTGCAAGCTTACCCCCTCTTGTTCCGGTCTGTTCTAAAGATTCTTAATGAACGGTTTCTACCCATACCAGTTTGCTTCATAATAGGTACATTGGAGAAATAAGTAACTTGGATTCCTGACATTTAGGGTAAGTATTTAGGGTAAGTATTTAGGCAGTTTCTCTTTATTTAGCTAGCATAGCCAGGAAGTATCTCCCAGTTTCTCCCTTAGGAACAGTGGGCTTATTACTGTGGCTTTCTCCATAATCGGATTTTCCAGGTTAGCCAGCCCTCACCCATGGACCTCTCCTTCTTCAAAGATGGGTAGCATATTTTTACTATTACCAATTGTGTTTCCTTCTTATCCCAAAGCTCTACTGCAAAATTTTTGGGTGGTTTTGCCTTTATGTGCTTTTCTGTCCCTCAATTCTGTGGTCTCTTTGAAAAAATCTCCAGGGGAGTGGACAAGAAATTTAAATTTTCCGCATATGTATTTTGCTTGCTCTGTGTGTGTGTGTGTGTGTGTGTGTGTGTGTGTGTGTGTGTGTGTGTGAAGTGTGGGGCACTTCTTATAAGTAAGACTTATGGAAATAATACATGGTAAATAAACCATTAAATCCCATTTTGCTTTTTTTCTACTTATTTTCTTTGCTCTCATACCAATAATGAGGATTTATTTTACTAGTTTAATATGATTTCGATACTTACTTTTTTTTTCTGAATTGTGATATTGAGCCTTCTGGTTATCAGCCTAATTCTAATATAAATACCTAAAAAACTAAAGAATTGTCGTTCATAAAAAGAATAGCTCAGCCTGTCAGGCCCTTTGGAGCTTCATACCATTATGCTCTTGGTTTTTCAAGGTAACATGACAAGAGTTTGATGTGTGATCCACCATTTGTACCTTCTTTGCCCTCTTAAGAAAAAAAAAATTCTGCCTTGTTTCCTATAAGAGTCACTTCATTCTTGAGTGTATGTTAAATACAAAGCTTTGCATATACTGTAGAGGAAATACTTTGTGTTGGAGGAAAGATTCATAGTGGTGAAAAAGATCAGTAGTAATGGCCACTAACCATGGTTTTAAAGACTTACCAATTTTCTAGGTCAAAAAGTCTAAAGAGTTTGTGGTTGTTAGTTTTTTGACATTTAGTATAATTTTTTTTCTTTTGTTTTCATGCCTAATTCCAGCAAGTTTGTGTATGTGTGTGTGTGTTTGTACATGTGTGTACGTATGTGTGTACACACAAATACAGTTTTTAACTAGTATATTTATCCATTGTACAAAATGATGTGTTTCTTCATGATAGTTTTGTATATGTATATCCCAAAAGACATCAAATAGTAGATGGGAAAATAAATTAGCTCTCAAAAGAACAGGGCTTGTGAGTTGGCTTTGTGAATAAATATGCCTACTGTCAGTCCTGACAACCTGAGTTGAATGTCCATGACCCACATGGTGGAAAGAGAGAACCAACTCCTATAAGTTGTCATCTGACTTCTACTCAAACTCTTGTGGCATGCTTGTACTCACACCATACCCATACATACAGAATAAGTAAAATAAGGTTTTTAAAATGTTTGACTATTCAATAAATACAGGAAAAACTATTCAGCATCGTTAGCCACCAGAGCAACAAATGCTGTATTGAGAGTTCAGCTTAACCAACTCAGAATGTCTTATCATCAAGAATGCAACAGATGCTGATAAATTGAGGACTGCAAAGTAGATACTTATATACTCTGGGTGGAAATATATTAGAATAGCCACTATGGAAATAGTACTGAGGTTCCTTAAGTATATATTGAATGCAACAACTTGCCTTTCCAAAGTAACCCCAAAAGAGCCCATCAATTAATTCCTCCATGAAAATATACTACTACTGTTACCTGTAGCAATAATATTGTGTCTCTCATCAAAGTTTATGGCCAATAAAGAAACATACCTTACCAAAATTAGAGCTAATGCTAAGTAATCAGTGTTAGATCACTCAGTGATAAAAAAAAGACGAGCACTGCTTGTTGTTGAGTGTATGTTGACAAATTGAGTTGAATGGAGAGACCACCTGTGCCCTTAGAACTTAAACTCTAACAGGAGAAACTGGTGAGAGAGCGTCAGCTAACGTGTATGTCATTACAAGTTGTATTATGTCCTGTGAAGTGAAAAATACGTGTAGTATGACAAGTTTAGGATACATTAAATGATCATTGGAGAGGTTTTTCTGAAGGGGTGATAAACTTTTTAACTCTGTATCTATATGCTGAGGAATAATGGAAAATATTATAAGTTTTATTGTTTGGAATTGAACCATTAGGTTTCTGTAAGAGTAGAAAATTTCATGCAGTAAACATACTCTACTCTGTGAAATACAATAGTGTCAGATCAATAGGGTGTTTCAAACAAGTATTCAATGAACTTTGTGGTGTAATGGGATGCACAGTACCAAGTATGCATGTTAAATGTTTAAAACCAAGTCCACAGTGTTTATACAGTGCAGCTGGCATTAAGTGCTGCCACAAACAATTTGGATTCATTACACATATAGTTTTGAATTGAGTTTTAGTTGTTGAATATAGTAACCTTTTACTGTTGCCAGGTTTTTTGTGACACTACATGAGATTAAGTTACAGGACCCTCACAAAGAGTGAGTTTCAACTCAGTTTAAGAAGCTGATAGATTCATTATGAAAGGAAGAAATGCTGTTGGTTTGGCAAGTTGGCACAATGGTGATAAAAAAGCAGAAAAATGGATTTAAATTCTGTGTTAGAGGAAGTACTTCCTCATATAGCCGTGATGCAAGGTGTAAGCTAGATAACCAGAGAAACATTTTTGTTTCTTGCTTGAACAACTGTATGTATGATGATGCCCAATAAGAGCATTTGGAGAAAACCAAATTTGGGAGTGTGCTACCTTTAAACTTGAAACTTAGTAAATTTCAAGTACTGTTGTGACAATTAGTAATGAAATACTATTTTCTATCTATCCCAAAACTCTCCAGATATTTGGTCAGATGTCACCTCAGCAAGGCCTTCTTTGGCCAACCAACTTATAAATAGTATAGAAAAATCCATACCATTTTTGTCTTCTGGCTTAATTTCTCTCAGTATATTACATCTTTATATATTTGTCTACTTTGTCACTCTGAAATATATAAGGGATTTTTGTGTACTGGCAACTGCTATATCCCAACACCTAAAAAACTGTAAATATTAAATAAATGAAGCCACTTGAAAAGTTGTATTTTGTTTCCATGACTAATTTTTTCATTAGTATTTATTTGTTATACTTAATTAACTTTTTAGTATAAAATTTTTAGAGCCAATTTATTTATATATGTACTAGATTTGCATTACTTTCTTTAAAGACAATAACTAATATTTTATTTGCCTCAATTTTTAGGTTACAACTGATGGGAAACCAAAAATCATTGATATCATTGATACAACAGGAAGTGGTGATGTGAATACTGCTACAGAAGTAGAACCAAAAGATGGTGAAATTATTGGTCTTTCTGGAAGAGTGCTTAAGGTTGGAACATTTCTCTTCTCATTGAATGTCATTGAGTGTGTTTCTTTGTTTGTTTTTCCTCCTCTTTTTGTAATGTTGCCTCAAAACATTTTTTTTTAAACCTAAGGAATATAGTAGTCTTTATCTGTTACTTGTAAAGGGGATTATTTCCAAACCCCATGGTTTAAAGTAAAGAGATGTTCCATTACTGTGTTCCAGGAACCTAGGTGTGATCTTGATGGATATATATATATATATAGTTGCAGATTTGTAATGAAGTTGTAAATTGTTGCCCAAGGCTATGCTTTTATTTAAAGGCTTAGTTAGCTTAGGTGGATTGGGAAGTTAGCTGGTGCATGGATGTTTTGTTTTGTTTTGTTTTGTTTTTTGAGACAGGGTCTCTCTATGTAGTCCTTACCATCCTGAAATTCTAGGTAGACTAGGCTGGCCTCAGCCCAGATCTGTCTGCTTTTGCCTCCCAAGTGCTGGGATTAAAGCTGCACCACTATGTCTTGTTTCTTTGTCACATGGCCCTATGCACAAAGCTGTTTTATAGTGTAGTATGGCAGCTATCATCTCTCAGGACAAGAACCATGAGAGAGTAACTAAGGTGACAGTCTTGTTCTTTTTATAAGGTTAGCTTACAAGTGACAGTCCATCTTTTCATTGTGTCCTACTTATTGGAGATTGGTCAGTAAATAAGCTGATACTTGGAAGAAGTATCTCATAACTGCATGCATGCATATGGTAAGATGTGGATCATGAGGGCCATCTTAGAAGTTATTTATTCAATAAAATACTTATAATTGGGATTGTTTTCTTTAATTGAGGTCAACAAATGGTTTTAACTTTTAAATAGAAAAACAGAAGGTAACCACCTATATAGTTTTGCCTTCATCATTTTCTCAGTGATCCTGACTATGAGGAAATATTTAGACCCTATTACTGATGAATTTAAATGACTGGCTTTGTTTTTATTTTGTCCTTGGTGTTCATGAGTTACTGGTTAATAGATATAGAGGATGACAATAAATAATAGATTTAGAAGTGATTGTTAATCTTTTAAAACAAGCAGACTTAGTTTGAAATTCATTAGTTTATTCTAGGACAGTAAATCGCATTTAGATCTACATAATTATAATTAGTTGCTTATTTTTGGATAGCTGTAAAAACGTAAACATTAAATAAGCCATAAGCACTGTTGTCACTAGTGCTCAATCAAAGGTAGAAATTATGTGTAATATATCATTCCTTACTAAATAAGATAAAACAATTAAGACTGATAATTTTGCCTTTTACCCACAAGCAGTCTGTTTCATTGCTTCATTTGCAATGCACATTCTGCAGGAAGTTGGTATCTAGACCATCTTCTGAGTCCACATGGAAGGCACTGCTGTTTGGTTTAGTATGGATAGTTTATGGAATGGGATGGTGGAAAATTAATTGCATTTCGTAGAGACTTTTCTGCCAGCCTTTTCCTTCTTCATTCATGCATATAATATACTTACAGAGGTATTCAGATGTTTTTCAGTAGTCAGGAAGGAATAATTATTGGTACTATGGCTACTTGGATCTCCTAGCACAATAAGTTTCTTTGACTTAGCCATGTGTTACAGTGAAGTAAATATCTGTCTCTTTTTCTCCTTCTTTCAAATACCCTTAAACAGCTAACATAACCTCATTCTTGTGGTTTAAAGACCAGGTACAAGGTAGTGCTTTGAACAAACACATTGGTAGCTATTGTCTACAGATGATAATCCTCTGTACAGTCTTTACTCTTTTCTTCCGGATCACAACTTATTTAAACTTATGTGATAATCGTTTCTTTGTTTTCTTCCATTGTATAGTTATATAAAATACATTATTTAATTTAACCAACTTTTCATGAATGTCTTCATTTCTGTATCATTTCTTCCTGTTGTTGATGTTTGCAAGATGTGAGATTCCTTTTTCTTTTCTTTTGGATGTTTTATTTACATTTCCTATGTTGTCCCCTTACCCCATCCCCCACTCACCCAGGAACCCCCTATCCTCTCACCCCTCCTCCTTCTTCTCTGTGGATGTAACCTCTATCTACCCCACCACTGCCACCTCCCCACCCTCAAAATTCCCACCCCCTGGGGCATCCAGCCTTCATGCTTTCAAGGTTCTCTTCTTCCACCTATGCCCAGCAGGGCCCTCCACTCTTACATATTCAACTGAAGTGCTGGATCCCTCCCTAAGTGCTCCCAGGCTGGTGGTTTAGACCCTGGGGGCTGTGGTTGGTTGGTATTGTTGCTCTCCTCATGGTGCCACAAATCCTTTCAGCTCTCCTTCAGTCTTCACTCTAACTCCTCTATTGAGAACCCCATGATCAGTTCAATGGCTAGTTGTGAGCATCTGCCTCTGAGTAGGTCAGACTCTTGAAGACCTCTGAGGAGATATCCATATCAGGCTCTTATCAGCATGCACTTCCTGACTTCCACATCAGCATCTACCTTTGGTGATTG